GTGCGCGCTTGAGTGCTGTTAGCTTTGTGGTTTCCTATATCCATTAGAGAATCTCGCCAAATGGGGTATATCAGTGGAGTGTAGTTAAGGGAATATAATTCCATATATTTATAGATTTATTTAAGCTTACAAATATCAAATCTTTATCTAGAGAAGGTTTGTTTATTAGAATTTAAAATTTTCTTGAATGAACAGTTTCCATAGATTAGCTTAATCTGGATGCTATTTGCATAATCTATAAGGGAGCAGTATCCAATATAATCATGATAGTTACCACTACTCATACATCATCTACATCATCACTCAGCTCATTACAGGGTATCCCTGTTTAAGCAGCTTCTCTCACCTTCGTGTTTGTTTTAGTTTTAGGAGTAGATGATATGTTTGTGTGATGTTTTCAACTCCGCAAAGGAGTGAAAGTGGTAAAAGAGCTCTTGTGGGAAATGGGTGAGACTTCTTTTGGCTGATGAACGGCAAGGTAAGCAAAAGATGTTTGCTGTAAAAAAGGAAGTTAAATAATGCATGAATCTGAAAACTGAGACTGTTAAAAGAGTTAATAATTCAGGTTGAGGGTGAAGTCATAATGTTGAAAAGCAAAGGATTACAAAAATGATAGTTTTAGGGGTATATAAAATTCATATTTTATTGGACTTCATGTTAGAAAGCTTATATACAAATGGAAGTTCCATTCAAAGCAAACTGTAATCGTATCTCTGATCATAGCAAACGCTGCTGTACAGCATTTTAATATTATTCAGCATAGTCGGAAAATTACGATTCAAAATTTCATATTTCTCAACTCGAAACATATTAGTCCATAGATCGATCAGAGATCGATTGGTAGCGGGTCAGAAGTGTTAAATGGGAACTATAGTTAGTTCTATGGAAAAGCCGATGATGTACGTTAATATGGATAGTCCACATGCACAGTTCGTTCGTGACACAATCAACAACAACAAGGTCGTGATCTTTAGCAAGACCTATTGCCCCTACTGCAGCATGGCCAAGGAGCAGTTCCGCAAGCTGAACGTGGAGATGACCGTGATCGAGCTGGACCTGCGCAGCGATGCCGACGAGCTTCAGGCGGTGCTTGGCGAGCTAACTGGTGCTCGCACAGTGCCACGCTGCTTCATCAATGGCAAATTCATTGGCGGCGGCACTGACGTGAAGCGTCTCTACGAGAACGGCACCTTGCAGCGATACTTCCAGTGACGTTCCAATTGGAGAGGCCTATGAGAGTTTAGAGTTGGAGCAGCAGCAGCAGCACCACCACCAATTGAAGTTCTGTTTGATTTGAGTTTTGATTGAGAAATAATAGAAATAAAAAAA